GACAGGGTCATTCCACTGGAACTACTCTTCAACTTTCTAAATTACATAAAACTCTGTTTGAAACTAAATTTCAAGAAGCTAAATTAAAACAATCTGACATCATCACCTTTGGTAAATGTAATTCTCTTGACACTCTTGACACTCTTGGCTCCTTGGCTTCATACAGCCACTCTGTAGTCAAGAATCTAGGTGTTATTCATCAACCAATCAACATTTATTTATAGAGCCCTTTCTGACAGCCAAAAGGTGTTTCACAATACAAAAGTTTAAAATAAACAGTCTAGCCACAGCATTTTGGTCCAGTTGAAGGTGCCTGATGGAGAACTGCAAGATCCCCACCATAAAAGCATTGCATAGTAAAGCCTTGAGAGGATAAAAGCATGAATTGCCTTTTCCAGGTCAGGACGATATTAAAAAAAAGGATTTACCTTGATTAAAAGATGCAACCTGATAAAAGCTGCCCTTGACAATGGAGGAAAATATTTGTCCAACTTCATATCCTTGCCAAAGGTCACCCCTGAGTTTTTAACTGTGCGAACTTGGATGTCAGAGCATCAAAGTTACAGGAAGCATCATCACCAAAAATATACACTCCATCATTCCTTCAGTCAATCACAAAAACAATTTAGTGAAGGCACTGTTTAATGTCAGTAATACAATCAATAAAAGAAGAATAAAGGTTACTACTTTTAGGCCTCGCAGGCATAAGATATATATTCCTCCTCACCAACATTTTTGGTGACCCAACATGGACAAAGATTTGAAGGGCTTTGTGGCAGCCTGCTCTACCTGCACCTAAAACAAGAACATCACTCACCTCCAGCAAGCTTAATTCTTCCACTATTATCTCACGAGAGTATCACCCCTATTTTAATAGTCAAACCGAATGACGTGGTCAGGATCTTGAAGCCTCCATAAGGTGTGTAATTGAAAACAATCCTTCTCCTTGGAGCCAATACCTACCATGGATCTAACATGCCCATAATTCTCAAACTTCCACAGCAATGGGTTTGTCTCCTTTTGATGCCTTTTGGGCTATGCCTATCCATTATTTCCTAGCCAACAGTCTGATATCTGTGTTCCTTCTGTTCAGCATCAACTTCATTTTTGCCACAGAATTTGGCACCAGACACACGCTTAATTTGTAAACAGATAGATGCCAGAATGCAGGAGGTGCAGAGGGAGTCAGGAGAGTTGCGGGGGTGATGGTCTGGGGTCTCTCTCCCCCCCCCCCCCCCCCCCGAGAAAATTTTGAGTAAAGTAGATGCCATTTCCTGCATTCTGATGAATGTTAATGGGTTGTTAAACATCTATGTTTATCTATGTTTGGGCATCTGGGGCTGAGTGGTTAGAGCAGTGGTCCTCTAATGCAAGAGTTGAGGGTTTGATTTCACCAGCAGTCACATGATGAAGTGTCCCTGGGCAAGACACTGAAGCCTCCATTGCGTCCAGTGTGTGTCCCATCGGTGTATGAATGTGAAAAAGCACAGATTATTCTTTGTACAGCAATTGTAGAGTGCTGTATGAATGGGTAAATGAGGGCACAGATTGTAATATAAAGCACTTTAAGTATCTTGATAAGATAGAAAAGTGCTACAGTATTTAAGTGGAGTCCATTTACCTACATTTGTAAACACTTGATTCAACAATTATTTTAGAGAGCAACAACAACAGCTCTCTCCTTGTGTGTGACTAGAGCAGCTCTGCTTCTGTCAAGGCAAGCATCCTGCCCTTGTACAACTGCCTGGTTAGCTGGTACTCACCCCCACACCATTCGCTCACTCCTGTTCCAATCTCGATTGCCACTGTCTTCAGGTGCTTCAATTCTCGGTTGTCCAACTAAGGATGAGAAGCCTTTTTTTAATGAAAGTAAATTGGACTGTCTTTTTGGCATTTTGATCATTGTTATTTTGACAAATTAGCACTGTTGCTTAGATAGATAGATAGATAGATAGATAGATAGATAGATAGATAGATAG